ATGAGTGATCGGTTCTGGGTATAACATGTTGTATTGATCGCTTCAGCCCAGAAACGTTTCGGCAGTCCAGAGTGAGCTATCATAGTTCATGCTGCTTCTTTCAAGGTTTTGTTCCTTCTTTCGGCAACTCCATTCTATTGAGGTGTTCGTGCAACCGAAAGTTGGTGAAAGATTCCATTTTGTCCGCATAATTCTGTGATAACTTTGTTCACGAATTCTGTGCCTTGATCTGATCTGATCATTATGATGCTAACTTCCTTCTCTGTTTGTAGTTGTCTAAGGAGTTCGGGTAGTATCTTTTCAATTTCATTCTTCTTTCTTAGAAACATTGTTCAAGTATATCTTGTGTAGTCATCAACTACAATGAGAGTATACTTTCGTCCACTTAGACTTGCAGGATCTATTGGTCCGAACGGATCCATGTGTAGAAGGCTTAACGGCCGAGAGGCTGTGTCTGTAGATTTAGACTTGAAAGAGGCTTTGATTTGTTTGCCCTATTGACAAGCATCACAAATTTTATCTTTGACATATGCTAGTTTCGATAAGCCTTCTACAAGGTTTCATTCTGCCAATTTGTTGATGGTTTTGAGGTTCAAGTGATTCATTTTGTTGTGCCACTGCATTACTTTTGGAAACAAGACAAATGTTTACCTTAGAAAGTTCCCATGCAACAACGTACATGTTTCTCTTTCGACCGGCCGAGAGAATGATGTCACCATTTTCAGTGTTGATCGCACTACATTTGTCTTTCGAGAATTCCACTTTATAACCCTTGTCACAAAACTGACTGGTACTCAATAGATTGAACTTGAGTCCTTCAACATATGAGACATCTCAAATGATTATTCCATTTCTAATGATGTCACCAATCCCTCGTGTCTTTCCACTGGAATCTCCTCTAAATACTACTTTTGGGCCATCAATTTCTTTATAGTTGCTCAAATTTGATTTGTCTCTAGTCATATGTCTTAAGCAGCCACTGTCTTCATACCATATGACCCTGTTAACCTGAAATAAAAAATTATGTGATTCTAGTTACCCCTTTGCTTTCGGGTCCTTGCGGGTTAGCGGTCAGTTTTGGGATCTAGACGAACCTAGAGCTGGTGTTGCTCATCCTCGGTCCTCTGTATCCATTAAACACGCGATATGTATAAGGGATTTTTGCAAAAGTTTTGGCCTTGTATCGTCTTTGAAAATAGGTTTCGGGTGGATTGTGATACACCTTAGAATAGTTAGTCTGTTTGTGTCTGTGAATCTTCTCGAATTCTGCTTTCGATAAAGGTTCGGGGAACACAAGCCAGTCTTCCTTGGAAGGTCCACTCCTTCCGTCGCCTTTCACTGGTTTTCTAAATGACCTCTTAAGCTTATCATGCATATTTCGTTCATTTTTTTTGACTTTCTTGTGAATAACCCTTGCGTTGATTCACTGAACCAACTTGCCTCTGATTGACATTCGGGTTTACCTTTAATTGGTTATTTCTCGTAGGCTGACACTTTTTGTAATGTAGACTAGGTCTATTTACTTTCAGTCCATTCCTTTTGACATTGTTGATATGTCTAGGATTGCCTTTCGGGAAATTCCCACTTGTAGGTTCCACAATACATTGGACAACCTTTCCTTTAGAATGACTTGTTGTTTGTGGTGCTTTGCCCTTATCAATCTGAGTCATTGGCTCAGGCATTTGGATTGGTCCTCGAACGAACACAAATTTTAAACCTCCACTAGAAGAAGGATCAATAGGTTTGTTCAGTAGACTTTGTGATGAGGAGCTTGGTTCATAGCCAATTCCGGCTTTTTCCCTTGGTGGTCTTGATGCATTCAACATTCGATCTATCATCTTAGATGAATTAGTGAAAGATGCAACGACCTCACGTAGATTTTGCTCCCTTAACTCTACTCTCTAGTTGTGCACTGCTCCTTAAGAAGATGAACTTGCTTTTCGAGTTCATCATTAGCGATGGCTAGCTCAATGTTTTTAATTCTAACTCGTCTGAGTTCATCATAACTGATCAAAAGTTGAGAGTTCTCTTCTTTCAACTTGGAGTATGTGCTTTTTACAACTTCAAAGTCCCTCATCAATTTTACAACCGAATCCCTGGAACTTTCCTCACTACCAGAACTAGACTCTATTTGAGTAGATGAGGAGGATTGAGAATTTAGCTCATCATCTTTGCCCATCAGGCACAAGCTGTTCTCGTCTTCTTCTCGGCTAAATAGACACAAGAGTCATTTTTCGCCCTCTAAGCTTTCGCTATCTGAGCTAGAGCTTGATGTGCTTGTTTCGGGTTTAGGCACTTCACTTGTCTCATTTACGACCATTGCCATCCTTCTTCTGTCGTGTTGTGGCTGATTGGACTCATATCTTGCTTTGCCTTTTTCTTGATTCGGCTGCATCCTTCCTTTCGTTTGGTGAGCTTGTGCTGGGTTCCTGATCCTGATATTTGCGGACCATGGGATGAGGACAATTCGCTTTGAAATGTCCTAGTTTTTGGCAATTATAACACAGCTCTTGAGCTTCCTCCTGCTCCGTTTTCTTGGGATAAGATGATCTTTCTGCCTGCCTTCGATTTGAGGAACTTGGAAAAATTTGCAGCTCTTGAAAGTTGTTCTTCCTTATGAACCTTTTGAACTTTCGTACAAACAAAGCAAACTGATCATCAGTTAAGAAATCAGAGGGATTAGAATTTGACTTGCTAGACGTAGAAGGTTGCTGACTTGCTTCTAGGGCGATGTTTCTGATTTCTGTTTCCTCACTGTTCTTGGGTTCGTGCTCAAACTCATATGTTTTCAAATCACTGAAGATTTGTGTAGTTTGAACAACTTTAAGATCTCGATGATCTCTCATTGCTGTTACTTTCATGTCCCAAGCTTTCCGTAGACCACGAAGGATCTTCAGGTTGATCTCATTCTGAGTTGGTTCTTTCCGAAGGTCTGAAATCTCTCCAAGAAGTTTCGTAAATGGAAAATCCATTTTTCGGTGATTGTCTCATTCAGATCATTTTGAAGTCTTCAAATATTATCATTGCCATAGTGAGCTTGTTATCTTTTTCCTGTTCATCTGCCTCGCCTAGGTTCATGAGAGTATCTCATCTCTCTTTTGCCGTGATGCACTTTCATACTTTTGGAAACATCGAATCATCCAAAGACTTGTATAAGATGTCTCGTGTAACATTATCAAGGTTTGCTCGTGTTTTCTCTTCCGACGTGAGTTGAGACTTTAGTTTCAGAATCATCACTTCGGGATCTGCTCCTTGAGCTACTGTTTGCGCGTTCACAATTGTTATCACGATAGGTCCCTCTTCAATGACATCCCACATCTCGTCATGGATGGCCGAAAGGTGTGCCTTCATTCTTACTTTCCAATCATCAAACTTAGACAAGTTAAAGACAAGAGGTCTAGATCTATTACCATAATCCTTTTCCATTTTTAAGAAAAATGTGCAAAGAGAAAATAGAGAATTTATAAGGATTTTTGAAAAGGGATCTACCAGGCAATATACGCGAAGCATTTAGCGTTTAAGGTAACAGCTCTGATATCACTTGTTGGTCCCGGTAGGGTCGAAAGAGAGTCTAGGGGGGGGGGGGGGGTAATAGACACTACTCGAATTTTTGAAAACAACTCTCGAGGAGTAATGCACAATGGAAAGTATGTTAGTTTGTTTTAGAATATTCTTTGCACGCTTTTGTTATTGAAAATTAGAGTTTGATCAATATGAATGCAAGGCAAGGCAAATAAATAACCTAAAGTAAAGAGAGAGTGAGAGAGGGATTTTTATAGTGTTTCAGCTATTAATGAAGCCTACTCCACTCTTCTTTCACAACTTGTGAAAGGGTTTGCACTATCACTCCTAGTACAAACTAAACAAGCTAGCTTCCTTGATCACTAAGCTGGACAGCTACTTGTGTAGGTTTTTCAACTCCTAGAGTTTACTCCGCCTCTATCAACATCTTCTTCAGAGTTGAGGGTTGGAAAGAAATAACGATATTCTCCAACTTGTGAAATCTTGTCTTGATGTTGCTTGAATCTTCAAATATAAGTTGCAAGATTTCCTTATGTTGTGAAGACCTGAAGTCTTGATAATCTTTTTGAAAATGCTTCACAACTACACACTAGTTTTAAAAGCTTTAGGATGCTACTTGTTGAAAAGCTTTTGTAGATAAAAGTCGAGTGATAAACCAACACCTTCTTCAAATGGAGAAGATGGGTATTTATAGGAGAGAAAAATCCATCCGTTGGAGGGAGATGGAGATTCAAACATATTGACCATCGTGTAATAACCACTGGGCTTGGAGCATTTAATGCGACGTACTGTGTAGCCATTGGCAACAAAAACTTGTTAGTCTTTTTGTCTTTTTACACTAATAAAAGTATCAATCATTTAATGCTCCTTTGAGTTTTAAAAATATCATTCCTAGGACTCCTTTTGTCTAGGATGATTTACCCAGCTATGAGACTTAGACAAATATACTTCTGTATTATCATGTAGAAGTTTTCATTTCGAGTTTGACTTTGACTCTCAGTCTTGGGATCAAGTAACGAAAGATTGTCCTTATCTTTCGTCTTCAAATCAAATGATCTTCCTTATCATTTGATGTTTACACGAGAGTTAGACCCTTCCATCTTTCGGTCTAAGTTGTTCTCTCGGGCCTCTCTTGATCTTCTCTTCTTCTTCAAAAGCATGACTCGGGTTTTCATTCGGCTGAATACGAGTCCTTCTCTAAGTTACAGACCCATTTTGTTAACCAACAAAAGATAACATAATCAAAAGAAAAATAGGGGTCTAACTTCCTAAGAACTTGGTATCATCAAAATCTAATTACACTTGTTCCTAACAGTATATATATAAATTTACAGTAACTAAATAAACTTACTAACTTTCAGTAAGTTTATTTAGTTACTGTATATATGCAGATTTGCACAACTAACATATTATAAAATATTACTTGTGAATGTTCGGTTATTCGGTTAACCGAATAACTGACCGAAATCGACGTATGTTCGGTCGGTTTCGGTCAGTTATGAAGATTTAAAAAATGTCTTCTGTTATCAGTCGGTTATTAATCGTAACCGACCGATGCTCACCCTAACCTCGATCGCTAAGCCTGGTCGCCAAACTGAGTTCCTGAGCGGTACCCGGTCGAGGACACACCGCCAACGGAGCCAGGTCGCCTGTTCAAATTTCGGGAGGGGATCTGGTCGGGGACACGCCAACTACCGAGGCTGGTCGCCCAATCGGGTCCCATGTGTAAGCCCAGCCGGGAACACACCAGTTACCGAGCCTGGTCGCTTTACCCGAGCCAGCCAACCTCCGTCCGGGTATGCGTCTGTCCTCATGGACAATTGGTTGCCGAGGATGACTGGTTATGATCTCCCAGGCGTTTCATGCGACGAACGGGGACCGCGGATGTCATCTAATTTGCCAAGTATCAAGCCATGCTCAAACTTGACTGTCTTGCCTCACACTCCAGACCAGGTGTCCGATTTGGGTTATCTATCAGTGATCATTTAGAAAAAGGTCACTAAAATACTCCACTAAAGTTGTTGGATTTAATTGTCTTCATACATTCCAAATTGGATTGTGTATCTAACAATAAGTCCAAAAGTTTCCACAAGTATTAATCTAGGTTTTGTTCTTTTAAATTCATAAGTTCAAATTTATTGAACATTTGGTTGTGAAACATATTTATGAAAATGTTGTAACAATACTAAGGATTTTATTATAACAAAAACATTTAACTTGTGGTGCACTGCCAATAAATAAATTCTTTAGCAATTAATAGAGTCTTTAGTTTCTTCAAAATTGATCATGGGTCATTCTGGTTTGTAAGGCTCAAAACAATTTGCAAGAAATATATGTAAGACAAATAATGTTTAGTTAATTTTTGAGGTGGACCTTGAGATTATTTGGGAAGTTATTGTGTATGTTTAAGGTTCCAAATTTATGGACTTAGACTTTTGGTTTGTTGTTTAAAATTATTGGAATGCTTCTATGACTTAACTATCTTTTGGCTATTTTGATGAGTGGGAGTGACAGACGTACGTGTCAACTCTAAACTTTTAGTTGTTAGAGGTGGTGTTTAAGTCGAGTTATATAAAGAAGTCATAGAATACAGTTAGCATTATGCTAACATTAAGAGATCTCTACTTAAGGCATGCTTCTTAGATTTTAGGGATCATATAATGTGCATATTTTCTTATGCCAATTTGGATGATATCTTTTTTCAGTTGCGCATATACATTTTTTGAGTAACATCCATTAAGGGACTAAGAATAAACGTAGGGTTTGTTCATAAAGAACCTAAGTTAGGGAATCTAAATGCATGTGATTATAGAAGATATTACTCACTTGATCAGTAGAGGACGTATTACTATGGTTCGTATGTTTTTTTCTTTAATGAAGGTTGTGCCAGTACTTGCACCAAGTGGTAGAATGTAAGTATTTTCCCTAATATAATATATTATAATATATTGTATTAATTAAGTGGTTGTGGTGCAAGTAGATGACTAATTCAGTTAGTGATTTAGTCAGTTAGGTAACTTAGGATATTCAGTTTAGCTTTAACTGAATATGTGCCTATATTGATGGCATGTAGGCTTCTAAGTAAAATAGTCCTCACACAACTTTTGTATTTCAGCATACACACACCGTCTAGTATTCAGGGGAGAGAAGTGGTAGACAAAACACCAATGTTATTCTGCTGGTTTACCATCCCAGTGACAATACGAACAACTATGGCCAGAGACATTTGAGTAATCCTAAAGCTTCCGCTGTTACAAGTCAGGTTTCTCGTTTACATTAATATCTGACATGGGGTTCATTTTATAATTATTGCAAACTTGAAAGTTTAGAAATAGTAAGATCATAGCATTTCATTTCTCAAGATGGAGTGTAACACCCCGTGTTACGGCCTTTAATCCCGGACGAATCATTTAATCAATCCCGTTAATAATAATTAAAAAAGCGTTTAAAATTGGTTAGGATTCCCTTCAATTAATTAGTTTTGTCCACAATGGACCATGGACCCTTATCCTTAAACCAAATCCTTAAATCCTATAAGAAATAGGATTAGTGGACCCTCACCATTCAGACCCTAGTCGGGACTCCTAAATCTATATATAGGAACTTAGGAAGCATTTAGAAACCCTACCACAGTTAATTCTACCACACACCTACAAAGGGACCCCCTGCCACCAAACGTAGAGGAATCCACTGGAGGGAAATCTGAGAAAGAAGAACCTTAGTAGCCAATGACATCGATTAAGGCTAAGAGGTAACCCATGTCTCGAAAAAACCTATTTCCTTGCTATATCTTATTCATTAGCTCCTTTGATATATGATTTTGTGTTTGAGTCTTGATAGAGCTTTGTCTAGGGTTTATATTGTGTTTATGTGATAATCTTGATGTTCTTGATACTATGATTGATTATATGAATGATCTTGTATTTTGATTATGTTTAGAGCCCTAGGGTTTATATCGAGAATTTTGTATTACGATGTTCTTGATATATTTGGGTGGGATTATGCATGATCGGGTGTTAAGCCTAGCCTAGGACTTGTGTTTGGGACTTTGCATATAGGTTTCTTGATGTTCTTGTGGTTCCGGATGCTCCTGAACCATTATTCGATTAATGTGGAGTCTTGGCCTGTTTATGAATCATGTTAGAATGTATTTGGTGTAATTCTTGGTTTAATCCCGTTAATTGAAAACGTGGTGTTGTCGTTATGTGTTTGAATGTGTCTGGACATGGTTTCAGGTTCCACGATTGTTGCCTGTGAGTCAGTGGGGGCAGGGGTGCCCGCCACCTACCCGCTGCCCCTTGCCCGGTTTCCAGCGGGCAGCCGGCGGGCAGTCGGGCACCCGCTGGAAAAGGGAGCCGCCGCTGGCGGGTGGCCCTCCACCCGTCGCCCACCCCCTGGAAAGTGGGTGGGTGTCGTGATGTTTTCTCCCGTTTGTTGTTTCCCCGTGTCCCGTTGTACCCCGTTTGTCGTGTATGAGTTTCATTTGGTGTTTTAGGCATCATTCTAGGATTTTATGTGTACTACATGTCGTTGTTGCTGTGTCTTGAATTTTATGTGATTATGTGTTGATTTATTGAATGATGATGAGTATCGTGGTCATTACGCAATGGCCGGTGTGGATAATGATGATGAGATTGTGATTGGTGGAAATGAATTGTTGGCAGTTGGCACCACTTGTGCCCGGTCATTGTACTAAAGGTACAGGCCATAGCGGTGACTGTGATAAAGGCACACACCCACCTTAGACTTGCTTGCCGTTGAGCATGGGTCAGGTTATAAGTGCTTCGGTGTCATGTTAGAACTATATGCGCTAACCCCTTGATAGTGGCACTAGAGGTGCGGATCATTGAATGGCACTGTGGCACCATCTTGATATGTTGGTGGTTGATAGGTGGTTTGTCGGTGGGGGGCATGTAGTTGCCCGGAGGCATAAGGGGTGGTGATATAAGGGTGGCTTAGAGGTATAGGTTGGAACTGATATAAGGACGGATGGGAGCTACAAGGTTGGAACTTGGTATAAGGTTGGAGGATGAACTGTGTGCTTTGATGACTACTTGCTATTTGATTGTATTGAATGTCTTAGTTGCCTCTAGTTGTTATTTGTATGCTTATCTGTCTGTCATGTCTTGTATTGCATGCTTAGGGTGCCTGTTAGTTCTTATGATTATTTTATTATATTGAGTCTGTTAATATGCCTTTAGTCTTGATCTTGGATTTAAACTGGAGTCTCGTAAGTATATATGTATTCCAGTTTCAAAATGATTTTCTTATATCTACCTATATTGTACTTAACGCGTTGGAGTGGGTTACCAGCATTATTCGCTGACGGTTGTTATACCGAATGTTTTTCAGGTGATGAACATTAGCTTCGGATCGCGCTAGTCAGAGCCTTGGACTAATTAGCTTAATTAGCCTTAGCGTAGTAGCTGGCCTGCGTGCCTTGGGATTGTATTTGAATATCGAATTAAGGATTTATTATGCTTAGTTAGCTTAAGCCTAGGTGTGACATAGCACACCGACACTTACGGTTAGTTTTATGCTCTGTTGGGATTCAGTTAATGGATTTGCCTTTATTCTATAAGTTTTAAATATCTCGAAATTTAGGGGTGTTACATGGAGGGTGTGGATGTGTCCACACTGCACTTTTTACAAGGGAGTTGCTTCATGGGTTAAAACCACGTACAACTTTTCTAAAGAGTTAGATGTGTATATTGCAATTGTAAAAATTAGGGACTAAAACCGCTAGCAAAAAAACAATATAATTGAGGGATTAAAATTGCATTTTTTCCTAAATCTTCTATATCTGTCGTTTTACAATGGATGAACAAGATTTATTTTTATTTTTCTCCAGGAAACTCCTTTAGACAAAAACTTGACCACATATTTTAAAATTCATTTAAGTGAGCTTGAATAATATATCATTTTTCAATATATCTTCACAAATATGCTCATCATTTACATATTCACAGAGGAATTCATCAAATTTTGTATTTTACACTGTCAGTAAAAGTTCTAATCTATGTGTATAACATTAGATTACCGGGAGAGTCGTGGTCCCTAATAAGATTTGGTGAAGACTTGTATGAATTTTCAATAAGTGTCCGTTTGGAAACCCGTTAAATGACTTTTGGAAAATATTTTCTGAAAAATAAATTATTTTTCAAACAATATTTTCCTTTCCGATGTTTGCCTACACAACGAAAAACTATCTTTGTGTGTTTGGTTCACTTTTTAGAAAATGAGCATGAAAATAAAAAGAATTAAATATTTAAAAATTTTAATTATTTGATACTTTTGATAAAATCCTTATATATATATATATATATATATATATATATATATATATATATAGGGAAAGGTTCATGTGTGGGTATAGCTTCCTGTGCGATTGTGCGGTTAGATTTGAGTCGTTGATCAAATCTAGATCAATGGCTCAAATCAATGAAAATAAAAAAAATAAAAAAGGCGTGTCGGGAAGAAAGCCACGCACCTTTAAATGTTAGATCTTAATCACAAACTCACGCACATTAAGTACAAAACCCACGCACATTAAGCACACAACCCCACGCACATTAAGCACAAAACTCAAGCACCTTATGCACAAGACTCACGCATCTTATATACAAAACTCACGCACATTAATCAGAGAACCGCTCCCATTAATTTTGACCTAGATTCAAAAATTAAAAAATTACCACATCATTTTTTTAAAAAAAAAATTTGGTAATCCTGCACGTTGATTTAAGCGAGATGAATGGCCCAGATTAAACCGCACAACCGCACCTGAGCACTCTAATCGCACCAGAACCTAATTCTATATATATATATATATATATATATATATATATATATATATATATATATATATATATATATATATATATATATATAGATGCACTCAGGTGCGAATAAGTGCCCAGGAAGGAATATGCGAACGAATCAGCGCGTGACACGTGTCCAGATCTAACAACTTAAAAAAAAAAGCGGTAAAATCATTTACAAGTGCACCTACTTTCACCTATAAGTGCATATAATTTTGCCTTGTTAGCATTCACTTATCGCAAACATTCATGCACCTGGGTGTGCTTATAACTATAGGTGCAACTATTTATAACTATAGGTGCACGTACTTTGACATATAAGTGCATGTAATTTTGCCTTGTTAAATTCATTGATCTGAGTTCAACGGGTAGTAATACCCCTGAAAACCACCCGCAAACATTCATGCACCTAGGTGCAACTACTTGCAACTACTTAGAACTATAGGTGCAACTACTTATAACTATAGGTGCACTTAGTATTGATGCTCAGAGTAAATTTTTACTTGCACCTATGATACATTTTACATGCAGTTGTACTACATTTTACTTGAACTTCGATGTTCAACTATTTATGAAAATGCCACCGCGCTTTTTTTAAAAAATCAGTGTTTCTCATCCATTAGATCTGGACACGTGGACGGACAGAATCCATTCCTATTTCGCGCCTGGGCGAAGCATTCGCACCTGAGTGCGATTCTATATATATATATATATATATATATATATATATATATATATATATATATATATATATATATATATATATATATATATATATATATATATATATATATATATATATATATAGTTAATACCCAAAATCGTCCTCGACTATAGTGGTTTTTCTCAATTTCGTCCTAAACGACTTTGGTGACCTAATATCGTCCCATACTTTTGTGTTTCGCTCAATTTAGTCCCAAACTTTTGTGTTTTTGCTCAATTTAGTCCTTCATTTGTTATTCTGTCCATTTGGTGTTAAATAAATAGACAATTCAGTAATTTTAATATTGACATCTCTTTACTCATAGACATGTAAACTACGAATTACTCCCAGAATTACTCCTAAAACTACGAATATAAAATTTGATTTGAAGGTCCGGGAGTAATTCTGGGTGTAATTCGTACAAGAAAGAGGAATTTCGCACTTCACAAGTTGAAAGTAAAGAGAGATCAATATTGACATTACTGAATTGTCCCTTTATTTAACACCAATTTGACGGAATAACAAATGGAGGACTAAATTGAGCGAAACACAAAAGTCTGAGACGATATTAGGTCACCAAAGTCGTTTAGGACGAAATTGAGAAAAACCACTATAGTCGAGGACGATTTTGGGTATTAACTCTACCCAAAATTGTCCTTGACTATAGTGGTTTTTCTCAATTTCGTCCTAAACGACTTTGGTGACCTAATATAGTCCCAGACTTTTGTGTTTCGCTCAATTTAGTCCTCCGTTTGTTATTCCGTCAAATTGGTGTTAAATAAAGGGACAATTCAATAATATCAATATTGACATCTATTTACTTTCAACCTGCGAAGTGAGAAATCTCTCTTTCTTACACAAATTACAGCCAGAGAAACTCTCAGACCTACAAATCAAATTTTATATTCGCAGCTTTAGAAGTGATTCTGGGAGTAATTCGTAAAAAAGAGGAATTCCGCACTTCACATGTCTATGAATAA